ACCCTCTCGATCTCTCTCTCTCCCTTTCCCACCCCTCTCTCCCTCCCCCTCTCTCCCATTATCTGTGTCTCTATCAAACAGGGCTGTGGTAAACAAGGAACCGGTCTCAGGCCGTAGTTCCACATTAATTCAGATCTGTTTACACACATCGCTAGTTATTGTTTTCAAGTAAATTGTAATTGTAATGAGTAAATTGGGTAGCGACTAAACGTGCTCGAATTAAATGAGGCAGGGGTTTGGTATTGGAATTTTCTATCGAAGGTGATGGAAGAAAGCGAGAGTACGCCTGCGCGCATATAATACGCTTTCATTTGTCTTGTACATTTTAAATATATGTTATACTTATATATAACAGGAGGTGAATAATGACAAAATTATATCATATATCATATTATCAACCCCTGATATACACTATATTTATACATAGGTTGTCTATATGGAGGCATAAATCGTGAATCATTTTATACCTACAGACGCGCTTTCGAAATTTCATTTTCAACAAACTCCGCTCCGCCGAAATATAATGATTATGATTATAATATCAACTGTTCAACTGCGCGTCTTGCGTGAAAACACACCGGATGCGATTTCAGTAGTTTGCGGTAGTAGAGTGACGTTTACGGTAGTTTCGGTGCACTGGGCCTCTGCCACAAGTCCCACTCTATCAAACACCGCGACAACGCAGCAGAGTGGATCACGCACGCAGATGAGGATCATCAGTGTGTGTTTAAGAATTATACACGCATGCACCTACAGACGCGTGTACAATGTACATAGTACCAAGTTTCGTCCTAAGGGTCATGTTTGCCTGGTGATGAACTCCAGAGATTTTTTAACCTCGATATAAGGAGCTGTATTTATATAATAACAAAGACAGCGTGTATTTACACGGGCCCTTGTACGTCCCGTGGTAGGCAGGCTTGGAACAAGAAAAAGTCCTTCACCCCCTCCTCCACGCCTCCCCTTCCTCGTTCTCCGCCTCCCCTTCATTCACCCCTCCGCCTCCCCTTCCTTCACCCCTCCGCCTCCCCTTCATTCACCCCTCCGCCTCCCCTTCATTCACCCCTCCGCCTCCATGCCCCCTCCTCCTCCACGCATCACTCCTCCTGTTCCACCTTCCTCCTCTATACTCCTCCGCCTTCTCCTTGTCCACCATGCCATCTGTTCCTCCTCATCCACCCCTTCTCGTCCACGCATTCTGCTCCTAATATTCATCTACCCTCCCTATCTTCCTCATCCACGATCATTCGCTCCACTCTTCCTCCTCCCTTTTCACCCCTCCACTCCTTTTCCTCCACCTCCTCCTCCTCCACCCGCCCTCTCCTCCTTCACCCCTCCACTCCTCCTCTTCCTCCTCCTCCTCCTCCTCCTCTTCCTCCTCCTCCTCTTCCTCCTCCTCCACCCGCCCTCTCCTCCTTCACCCCTCCACTCCTCCTCTTCCTCCTCTTCCTCCTCCTCCTCTTCCTCCTCCTCCTCTTCCTCCTCCTCCACCCGCCCTCTCCTCCTTCACCCCTCCTTCCACTGCTCCT